GAAAATATTACCATAAAAGGAAACAAATTTGAACTAAAAAATGTCAGCCAAAACGCCACCGGGCTTTATAGACTTCTGAATAAGTCTGGAGACTGTGTTGTGACAATGCGGATCTCTGTCCTAAGTAAGTTTGCGCAGGTGCTGTTTAAACTGCAGGTGCTGAGGTTGGATCTACAGGGGGAGGGGGGCTGTTGTGACTGCTTCAGGGCTGTCATGCCATCACACTGCCACAGTCAGCTGCTGGGTTGTGTTTGTTATTTCCAATACTTTCCTGCCAGCTTCCTATTAGGAAAATCAATGGGGAAGACGGTAGGAAATCAAAAGTTGCTCCCACTCTCACTGCTTTTTTGGGCCTGCCCGTAGTCATTCGTTTAAATAATGAAATATATCTGAAACAATGACCCAATGGGGTCATAGATTGTCTAGTAACAACTAAAAAATCTTCACAAAATATACAAGTAATCCTCATTGTAATGGAGCCTGCCTATTGTAGTCATAAGTCATGATGGTCATAAAAAGGGTCACTAACATAACCAACTGATTTTACAATCTATTTTGCGACAGTCTTTAAGCAAACCAATTATTTGCTCTGGAGCAGTTTTGTGAAAACCAGAAATAAATGCTTTTCAGCAAAAAAAAAAAAATGTAAAACATGTTCATCTGACCAGAATGCAGATCCATTGTTAAGTGCCCAAAATGTCATCATGTGACTGGGGGAGTAAGTAGCTCTGGGAAGGTCCATCATAACTTCAAATTAAGTCAAGGACTATTATACCCAGTAGACACAATGGCTTCCTTCAGGGACATTTGCAGGTTATAGCAAAAAAATATGTCTGCAACATTGCAAATCTCTATGTGAACTGATGCACACAAAAAATAGGCAGAGTTTCATGTACTTTTTAAAAAGTATTTTATTAATTTTCTATTATTACATTTCATTAGTGCTTAATGAACAACGTGCTACATGTGCCTTTGTGGCTGCTATCTTGATTTTTTTTTTTTAACATAACCTGAGGACAGCCTTGGATTCAGTAGATAAGAAGGTGCAAAATTGTGGTGCACTATTTTTCTCATTTTTTTCTTCTCAATCTCCTCCCTTGTTTCTCCAGGCACAAGTCCTACCACTTCATCCCCTCGGTCTGGAACCTTCAACATCCAAGTGGTAAAATGGAGTGAGTAGAGGCAGGGGAAGCAAGAAAAGATACTTGCATTCTTCTCCAAATTCTGCCATCGATTCTTAAATAGGAATGGGAAAAAATGGTTTTCTTTGCATTTTAATGCAGACTTAAGTGATTAGCACTTCCCAAATCTAAACATTGGGTGCCTTGAACTACAATTCCCATCACCTCAAGATAACATGGACCAATGCTGAATTGGAACCAGGGCATCGAGTTACACCAGTGTTTCTCAACCTTGGCGGCTTTAAGGTGGATGGACTTCAATTCCCAGAATTCCTCAACTATCATGGCTAGCTGGGGAATTCTGGGAGTTGACATCCACCCATCGTACAACCGCCCAGGTTGAGGAACACTGTTTTGGCAAATTATGTGGGTAATTTCAATTGAATTGGAACATTTTCTGCAACTTTCCTTTATGATTTTGCTTCCTTTATGGTGTATTATTACATTGTGCATTTTTAAATTTATTTTATTGTATTTATTTTTCCCACTATTTATTTCCTTACATATTGATCTTTGATGGTAAGGTAAAGTTCACCTCTTGTATTGTGTATTTAGATGTTCCTACACTAAAATTCACCCCAATTTTAAACAAGCAGAGAGGTTGCTACACCCTGAAATGAGTCAGCGTTTCAGGAGACTTTCAGAATCTATAGCTGGATATCCTGCAGAATCGGTCACATGTGACAGTGAATCATTCTGTCTGGTTTCCTCTTGATGCACCAAACTGAACCCGCAAATGTTTTTCTGGTGGGAAAAATTAAAAGCCATGTTCATAGCTGGCTGAACTCATGAAGAAGGCGAAATGTTAGGAAAACATGTAAAAAAGGAGAAACAGTTGGCCAATGACTCTTGATTCTTCCCAGTTCATAGAAAAAGGTCTAGAACTGCAATGTCTAGAAATGTCCACAGGGTCTGCTCCAAAAAAATCAAGATGGCAACTGTGATGATGAGATCGAAGTTCTATGACTCCCATAGAAATGTCATAGAGCTTCAATTACCCAGTTGCAGATGCCATCTTGATTTTATTTATGGACAGTAACAAATTTACTAGCCCTTCCCCATCTCTTCTCTTCTCGTCTGCCCTCCACCTTCCTTCCTTCCTTCCTCCCTCCCTCCCTCCTTCCCTTCCTTCCTTCCTTCCTTCCTTCCTTCCTTCCTTCCTCTCTAATCTCATCTCCTTCTTTCCTTCCTTCGTCCCCAACTGTTACTGCTATACCAAGAACTGGATCATTAGTTTTGGTGCGATATGATTGTTTGCTCACATAGGGAAGAAGGTATCCAAGGGTTTTATCTCATGTTTCATCATTTGATCCATCCTCAATCATCCAGCTATTGGTTCATTATCTGGGCAAAGTTCCACAGGCTTTTTTGAGTGATGTGGCATCTCAGTGTATGAAATAAATGAATATTTATTGATCTACCTACCTTCTTCTTTCCACTTACAGGTGGTGTGATGTGGCTCTGCTTTCTAGCAACATTTCCAATATTGGCAATTTTCGATGTGAATGCACTGAAGATGCCTCTCACTGGCCTTGCTGGACTTTTCTGTGCAACCTATTTTATTTTTAAGTTATTCTCTTACGGTGCAATATAGACTATTTACAGGTTTGATAATGACAGAAATACATGCCAAGTGGGAAAACTGGTAGTGTGACCAAAGCCACAGGTTCTTTTTTAATCAATTCAATGAAAAGTCTTGAGTTTCAGCAGGGGTGTCCTCAGAGTATGGTTCAGAAAAGTCAAGAAGGTGGCCATAATGGTTTAATTGAATCTTTGCCTATTTCTTGTCTGTGCAACGCACCTAACAAGCAGTGGACCTTTGTTTTTTTTTCATGGCAACCGCCCTCTTCATTTTGGACCATAACCCTGTGGACATCTCTGAGTTGCAGGAAGATATGACTACACAATATGGCATTGAAGTTAGTCTTCCTTGTCTTTGACTCTTAGCAACCAGCAGCAACTGGGAAGGATTCCTGTAACCTGGTCTTCTTTCTTGGTCTACCATAACTGCCCAAACCATTTGACCACTCTACTACACAGTTCACACTGTTGCACAGGAATGGTGCGATTCTTTGTATATTTTCCAATGGGAAACCTTTTCAGGGAACTTTATATAAATCACACTGCAGTTTGGAAGGTGTGACTTGTTTCATACCGTTTTACAGTGTTTCTCAACCTTGACCATTTTAAGGCATGTGGATTTCAACTCCCAGAATTCCACAGCCAGCAATGCTGGCTGTGGAATTCTGGGAGTTGAAGTCCACATGCCTTAAAATGGTCAAGGTTGAGAAACACTGCATTAGGAAATGAGAATTGAGGAAGCCCATCTCTCCCCATAAGACCTCTTTGGATTGGTTTCAGTCCAGACCCAACACTACCAAAAAGGCCTACACTTTGTTTGATGGATGTCCCCAAAACAGGTCACCTGAACTTTTGATCAATCATTTGCTTGTTGTGGATACAAAGCAAATTTCCCCTTTCTGATGCAGGTAGTCCTTGACTTATGACTAATTGCTCAGTGACTGTCCAAAGTTGCAATGGACTCAACAAAAGGTACTGGTTTATGACAAAAGCATGTCCATTGGCTAAAATGGGTTTGCCTAATGACCGTAGTTTTCCTTAACAAACATGGTGATTTGTTTTATGAACATCATAAACAGACATAAAATCAGATCAGTTGGCTGATGACCCACTTAATGACTGACATGAGTACAATTTTGTACTCAGTTACAGTCATAAGTCAAGGATGACTTGTAATTGCAACCTTAAACTTTGGAAAGAAAGGGGCAATCTGAAGCAGGAAGTGAGCTACTGAAGAATAAAAATAAAAATAGACATTGGCCATGGGAATCCAAGGTTTTGCAATAAACTGGAAAACTTGATGAAAACTAAAAAATAATAGCTTAATTACAGTGTACTAAAAATAATGTGATTTGTTTGGTGGGAACTTGGACACTATAGCTTGTTCAACAATATATGGTTAAAATAAATCAACAATGCTGAAATCTTTCATCTAGTGTGGAGAAGGACAGGACCAGAAAATTAAATCCAATCTAGGATAATGGGTTTAAACAATGGAAAATAATAAGCAGATTCACATATCTCAATAAACCATGCTTCACCAAATAAACCACAATTGGCTAGATTCATAAAGCACCACGCTAAACTTGATACCGAGATAAACCAGGACAAAATTCTGGCTTAGATCAGAATGCACAACTTTGGATCCCAGAGCTGCATTTGCCCTCATCTCAAAATCCTAAATGTCACCTCCAGTGACGAGGAGCACAGTGGCTTGAGTAGTTAGGAGTCTGGGTAGCAAGTTAGCAAACTCCCATTTCTGAGAGTGCAATCTTCTAAGCACATAACCCTTGTGTCACATGCCAATGCTGTTAATGCCAAAAATGATTCATGTGTGCATTCTAGCCAGCAGTGGATGTACAATCCCATTCCAGAAGCTGTAGAGCAGGAGTGTCAAACTCAATTTCATTGAGGGCCGCATCAGCATTGTGGTTGTCCTTAGGGGGGCTGGGTAGATGTGGCCAGGGTGGGCACAGCCTACTGGGTGGGCCTGGTTGGAGTGGGTATGGTCTACTGGGTAGGCATGGCCAGCTCTACATCGTTCGCGTCAAGGATGCCTGTGGGGACCTGGGCAGGAGTGGGACAGATCTGAGCATCTCTGGCAGAAGGGGGTGGGACCAGGGCAAGCGCCAAGGCAGGGTCCACTGGAAGAGCTTACCAAAACCCCTCCCCTGGAGCCCATCAAGCCGGAAATGTGAACTAGGTGAGGACCATTTGCTGGCCACTTCCAGGCAATGGTGCATTTTTTCATTCCTCAAAGGGTGACACCTCCCCAGCACGCATCCAGGGGGTGGGGCCAATGCAGCAGGGGCCAATCCCTTGCTTTTTCCAGACAGCCTGAATGCGTTTCAGCATAGATGGCCATCACAAAATTGTACATTGGCTCCCAGGCCAAGGCAACAGGGGCCGTTCCCTCACTGTTTCCAGGATGGCTTCGTGGGCCACATGAAACCATGTCGCGGGCCGCATCCGGCCCCCGGGGCTTGTGTTTGACATGTCTGCTGTAGAGCAAGGGCAAAGTAGTGCAGTGGTAGACTTTGTAGCATTGAGTCATCCCATACAAATACTTTAGTGGCTGAGAAGGCAAGAACCTGTTGCGAAGAAGGACTGAAGAAGATCAGCAACAGATTTTACAAAGCTGTTTATCCACATCACCTAAATTGGATAATTTTCATAAGTCAGGAAACATTGCTCAACAGAGGAGGAGAAGGGAATTTCCACCTGATTCACCCTTGTGTCTCGTTGTCTGGAGTAAGAGGAGGCAACATTCTGTAAAAAGAAGAACAATCCCTGACTTTCTTCAACACCTGGCAAGTGGAAGGAACAAGCATTTGAAGGCCAATCTTGTCTGTTTTCATACTTGCATCTTTATGAAAGTGTATTAGATCAATGCTGATTCTGCAGATGAGCAGAAGCTTACTGATCTTCCACAGAACCTTAGCTTGGCTCTGCATTCAGCCCTTTTTTCCTCCAGCCTAGTTAAAAGGTGGAATAAACTAGTTCATCCTCCTATTTAGATCCTCTCCAAGCTGCAATAGAAGGTTGCCTGCCTACGGATGCTGGGTGGCAGGAAAACCCCAAAACATTACGGGTTATGGTCCATAAGTACCACTTTGACATCTGCCTGCCTTGAAGGTGCACAAAGAAGTCATAGGTGCTGCCTCTGCATTCTGTCCAGGAGGCGTTAATCTCTTGGATCAAGCATCACATGTTGGCTTTTCACTAAGACTTTGGGGGATTCCCCTTCCCAATATGCAGATAAATATCTAGATTGGAATCTATTTCCTTGGAGATTTCATTAATTAAAACAGAAAATCAACAAATCATATCTTTAAGACAGACCCTTTTCTTAGAAAAGTCCATAGCAGTAGGGTCAAAAAGTCAAGATGGCTATTCCAACTGCATGATTATAACCACCATCTTGCTTCTTTTGACCCTTTCTGGGGATATCCCTCCAGAAATACAATAGCTAAAAGTATTTCAAAGAGACTCCGTGAAGTGGAGAAATTTATGTTACAGTTTTCCAAGATTCTGTGTTTACCCCAGATATTCTTGTTGAAATGCATGTCATTCATTTTCTTGAGCTTCATGGGATTTGACAAGGTGGAAAGGCATGTCCTCTCTCATTAAGCTGTGGAGTTCAGTAACTCTCATTGCAATTAGCTACAGCAAATTTTCCCAGTCTCCAGGCAGATACAACCATCGAGATGAAGCTAAGATCTAGAAACACCCCCCCACACACACAAATCTAGTGTGACTGAAAGATGGAGTGACTGAATTTCAGGAGTCAGGCTGGATTTGGCTGTATTTAAGGCAGGAGACATTCAACTGCAGAGTGAAGTTAACATTGCACAGGAAGGAAATCTAAGCTCTGTTGCTAAGCAAGATAGTTGTTGCGTTTTACCCCATTTTACAACTTTTCTTGCCCCGGTTGTTAAGTGAATCACTGCACTTGTTGAGTTAGTAACAAGGTTGTTAAGTAAACAAAAATCATGGTGGCGCAGTGGTTAGAATGCAGTACTGCAGGCTACTTCTGCTGACTGCCGGCTGCCAGTAGTTCGGCAGTTTGATTCTCACCGGCTCAGGGTTGACTGAGCCTTCCAGCCTTCTGAGGTCAGTAAAATGAGGATCCAGATTGTTGAGGGGCAATAGGCTGACTCTGTAAACCGCTTAGAGAGGGCTGTAAAGCACTGTGAAGCAGTATATAAGTCTAAGTGCTATTGCTATCTGGCTTGTCTATTGACATTGCTTGTCAGAAGGTTGCAAAAGGTGATCAGAGGACCCCAGGGCTGTCATAAATATGAACTAGAATTGGCAAGCATCCAAATTCTGATCACAATTCAGTCACTTTTTCAGTCCCGTTATAGCTTCAAATGGTCACTAAATGAACCATTATAAGTCAAGGACTACCTGCATTCTCTTTCCCCCAAGGAAAAAGCATCTCGAGGTCATCTTTAACTCTCCATTCAGAAAATTGGACAAGCAACATGGCGGAAGGCTGGAGGAGAAACACAGCACACAGCCATTTACCTCTGCTATGATGAATCCGAGGAGACAGAGAATCAGGCCAGCTGAAGTCAGCCGGATGATATTGGGCACCGTATAGTCTCTGCCAAATTCTGCCTTCATCAAAGAGACTGGAGCTGCCACGAGAGACATTAGACATGATCATCATCATGATTTTCTCAGGAGGCCAAACAAGCAAGAGGGAAGAATTCACAAAACATTGTGAAGCGTTCATTTCAAGTGTCTCAAGTTGCAGAGTTGATCAACAACCAGCAGCCAGGAATAGCAAGGAAGCCAGGCTTGATGAAACATGAGGAGGAACTTCCTGCAGTGAGAAGAATGGCTGGAAAGGACCTTGGAGGTCTTCTAGTCTAACCCCTTGCCCAAGGCAGGAGTCCTTATATCACTGTGAAGTGTTAGGCCTGCTTTATAATGCTGTGGTAAGACCACACTTGAATACTACACCCAGGTCTGGTTTGCAAAATTTTAAAAACACATTGGCATTCTGGAAAAAGTACAGAGAAGAGCAAACAGCATCTTATGCTTCAAGATTTGGATGGAGAAGGACTGTGCCAATATGTCTTCTTCTAAAGTCAGACAAATATTGTGAGCTGGTTGCCCAGCACCCAAAATAGGATCACATCACTGTGGGCTGGTAAGGCGGAAAGAGGGGACCAAGCTGCTGCATGCTTAATAGTTATGCAACGAGGGAATTTCCTCCAATGTGGCTGGTATGGTAAATTATTTCTGTTGAGTTTCCCTCTGCTACTCCACTCTTAGAAGGACAGGAATCCTGACCCTTTTTGCCTACAAAGATCTCAAGAAATAGGAGGTAAAACCTTTTTAGAAACCTTTGTTTAAAGGAAGTTGACAATTTGCACTTTTTTTTCTTTGTGTAATTCGTGGAATAAGTAAAATGTCACAGTTCTCAACACAGAACTGTGGGGAAATTATTAATGTTCATAATTTCCAGTTCAGTTTGCATCTTACATACTTCCAGTCTCCATATCCAGATCAGAGCAACTCAGCGTGCCTCTCTGTTCAGGTAGCAAAATATTACTTGATGGTTCTTTATTAAATACCAGCAAAGATCAAAACAATTAAGTGGTGTAGGCTTCTGGAACTGGAACTAGAAAAAGAAACAAATTGTGTAGTCTTGCCTAACTATTGGTATCTCGCTTCTATAATCAGCGTTTGTGTCAGGGATAAATTTCATGCAAGCCCAGGAAACATGTACATGAATGTGATGTATTGAAGGAGGGAATAAGGGCGTGTACAGGAATGATTGATGTCTTCCTTATATTGTAATAACTCTGTTGTCTGATTTTCATTGGCTAACAAATTTATAAAGCACTACTGCTAACTTTCTAAGGTGTGGCAATTCTGAATGCAATTGCTGCCAGTGTTCAGATTGTATTCGCACCCAGGACTTATTTCAATTGTAAATAAAGTACTGTCTCTTTAAGAAGTCTCTGCTTGAGTTTTCATGACTGGATTTTTATGATTTCTCAGGTTTTGCCAAGGGCCAGTGACTTTACAGTGGGAAAAATGAGAGAAGACACAGGCAAAAACAGGAAAAGAGAAAACCATAAACATCAGGCAACAATTTATATCATTGTGTCTCAACTTCAGCAAATTTAACATGTGTTGACTTCAACTCTCAGAATTCCCCAGCCAGCCATGTTGGCTGGAGAATTCTGGGAGTTGAAGTCCACACATCTTAAAATTGCTGAGGTTGAGAAATACTAAGTTACATTTTCTCTCTCTTTCCCTATCTGTCTGTATCAAAAGGTCTAGAACTGTTCAAAGCCACTGGACGCAATATGGGGATAATTAGTATGGCCAATCTGAGAGGGAGGAGCCTTTGCTTATTCCAGCTTTAGTCAATTTATATTACCTAGCAGCACGCAGTACAGACATTGGAAAGTAGGACACCAGGTGATCCTTCTTTGACACAATGCAAGAAACAATTTGATGGATGGAGATAATGTCTAAAAACCTGGTTTTCATTTTCCAGTATCTGGTGTCATTTTTCCCTTCCATATTCCCTTTACTTCCTGGTTTTCTTTTTTAATTATTTCCATCTCTCATACAAACCTGCCACATTTGTGCTTCTGCTGGGAAATGTCCCTCTTCTCTGTCCACCAAAGGCAGCAGCATTCAAGTGGGCATTGCTGGTTTCTGTTAAGATTTATTTTTTTTAAAAAAGACATTACTTTTTTAATGCAGACTGTTAAGCACACGTGTCAATCTTTGGAAGCAGTCCAGCTAAAACCATGAATAATATCGCTACCTTTATTACAAGATTACAATAACAGAATTTTGAAAGCACTTCCCCTCTTCTTTACTTTTAATTTCCAAAAAAGCCAAGATGACCACAACTGCACAACGCCCCAGACTTTACCAAGGCACAAGTGCAGATCTCTGTCAGAACTGCCTGTCAACTTTAGAATGAGCCTGGCTGCAGCCATCTTATCATTCCTAGTTGCCAGATAGCATGGAGGGTGGAAAGGTTACCCCCTTTCAGAGGCTACATGGGTGAAATGTACAAATCTGAAGGCGGTTAGGTTAATAAAGAAATTTTATGATAAGGATCCTCACAAATCCTGAGGGCAGTGGTGGGATTCAAATATGTGAACAACTAGTTCTCTGTGTGGATGCCGCTTCTGGAAGTCCATTCTGGACCTGGGCAACGAAAAATTAGCTACTGGTTCTGCTGAAGTGGTGCGAACTGGCTGAATCCCACCACTGCCTGAGGGGATGTATAACCTGATTTCTGTTTCTCCTGCAGGAGACTCTTTCTTTCTGAAGAGGAGTCGACTGTCAACTTTCGAATGAGCCTGGCTGCAGCCATCTTTTTCCTTCTCATTCCTAGTTGCCACATAGCACGGAGGGAGGGGGCTTGCCAGGTGTTGCGCTAGACCAGGGGTAGGCAACCTTGGCTCTTTTGACTCGTGGACTTCAACTACCAGAATTCCTGAGCCAGCATGGCTCAGCATGGAAACTTCTCCATTTCCCCTCAGCATGGCTGGCTCAGGAATTCTGGGAGTTGAAGTCCACGAGTCAAAAAAGAGCCAAGGATGCCTACGCCTGTGCTAGACAAAGCAGATTTTCTCTCATGGGAACCAAGGTCATTGGCTGCTCCGGAGACTGCAGGCTGGGCGTTTCATGAAAAGCCCACCAACAAGCTGAGTGGGAATACGTAGTTGCTTGCATAGCTTGGGGGGTGGGGTTTCTTAACTTTGTATTGGGGAATTGTTATGCATCTCTTCAGACTTGGTTTCACTTTTGAAGTAGCCATACTCTGTATCAATAAACATGTTCCTTGAGGAATTTGCAAGCCTCGGAGTTCTGCTTTATTTGTCTCTGTTGATCGGAAGTATGACACTGCCATCCTGTGCTTCAACTTTCTTTGCTAGCTGCCAGCCTGTCATAAACTATGGTGGGGAGGGAGCTGCTGGGAAGGGGAAACAGAAACTACAGGGCCAGAGGCTTGGGAATGAAATGAAAAGGCTCGCCATCTAGCCTTCAAATGTAACTGGACAATAGGGAGGTAACCGGGGGAGGGGTAGGAACAGAAAAGGAAAAGTTAACTGGGAAACCTTTGCATGCAAACTTTTAGTTCTGGCCTTGCTGTACTGTAACCCCTTGGCTTTTAGTAAAGGTGTATCTTTCTCAAAAATGGAACTGAGGGTCCTTCTTTCCTAGGAGCCCATGTTGGGGCAGGTGTGACACCTACCTCCATTCTCTTACCATTGATCACAGTCAGGTTGATGTTGGCTGACACTCTGACACCCAAAGCCAGCAACTTGATTTCATAAACCCCCGAATCCTCTACTCGGACATCCTGTAATATCAGCGAAGCATCTTCAGAAGACCACTCTGCTCGGTGCCTGTATCTCTCTGTTTTTTCAACTATGATCTCGCAAGTCTCCCACCACTGATGGGTACCATTGTCTCTCCCGCAGTTATCAGCTTTCACAATCAACACCAGCCACGGGCCAGTGATGAAACGCCATCGGATCTGGAAGTAGGTGGGCACAGAAGAAGAGAAATTCAACGAGACTGGGAGCAAGGCTGTCTTCCCATGGGAGACAGAAACTGGGAACAAGGGTGTAGACAGCACAAGGCCTGAAGCAGAGCCTGGGGAGAAGAGAACAGGAGAAAGGATTAGCAGTGAGGTCTACAGAATACAAAATAACACACTTGGAAGGGACATTTGAAGTCTTCTAGTTCAACTGCCTACTCAGGCAAGAGGCCCTATAACCCATAACAAAAGGTTTTCCAGTCTCTTAAAAACCTCCAGTGATAAAATACGCACAACTTCTGGAGGGAAGCCATTCCACTGATTAATTGTTCTAACTGTCAGGGAAATTTCTCCTCAGTTCTAGATTGGATCTCTCCTTGACAAGCTTCCACCCATTCACTCTTGTCCTGTCCTCAGGTGTTTTGGAGAATAGGTTGATCCCCTGTTCTCTGTGACAGCCCTTTAGGTTTTGGGACGTTGCTATTATGTCACCTCTAATAATTATAATAATCATCTATTAGCATCCTAAGTTCACGTGATTGTCATTGTGATCTTCCCAGCCAGCTTCCAACAAGCAAAGTCAATGGGGGAAGCCAGATTCACTTATCAGCCACAGTGATTCACTTAACAACTGCAGTGATTCACTTAACAACCATGGCAAAAAGGTTGTAAACCTGGGCGTGACTCACCTCCAGCTCCTGCAAGGAGAAGAACTAGATCTGTACTAACTCCTCTGCTGAGCTCCATCATCTCCTTGCTTTTCCTAGGCCAGGGGTAGGCAACCTTGGCTCTTTTATGTGGACTTCAACTCCCAGAATTCCTGAGCCAGCATGGCTCAGCTTGGAAACCTCTCCCTGTCCCCTCAGCATGGCTGGCTCAGGAATTCTGGGAGTTGAAGTCCACGAGTCATAAAAGAGCCAAGGTTGCCTATCCCTGGCCTAGGCTATCACAGGTAAAAAGGAAACCTGACAGCCAAAAGACCTAGTCTCCCTTTTCCTATTGCTGTAAAAGCTTTTCCTTACTGAGCCTATCACAAAGCCAGAAAACAAACTCCACTGATGTCAGTGAAGGCTATATTAAGTCCTCACTGCAACCTAAATCAAGCCAAGGGTGTCCTTTGAGTGCCCTGTATTTTGTACGTGGGTTGGTGCAAGGGGAGGGGGAGCTCCATTTTGAAAAGCTTTGACATTAAACCAACACACACACACACCAGCCTTTTCTGTGCATGCTGCCAAAGTATTCCAAGATACAGGAGGATCTGGACAGACGTGAACACTGGGCACTATCTAACAAAATGAAATTCAATGGTGAAAAAAGTAAGGTTCTACATTTAGGCAATAAAAATCAAATGTGCAGGTATAGTATAGGGGATACCTTGCTCAATAGTAGTAACTGTGAGAGGGATCTCGGAGTCCTGGTGGACGATCACTTAAATTATGAGCCAGCAGTGTGCTGCAGCTGCCAAAAAAGCCAACACAGTGCTAGGCTGCATTAACAGACGGATAGAATCAAGATCACGAGAAGTACTAATACCACTTTACAATGCCTTGGTAAGGCCACACTTGGAATACTGCATCCAGTTTTGGTCACCACGATGTAAAAAAGATGTTGAGACTCTAGAAAGAGTATAGAGAAGAGCAACAAAGATGATTAGAGGACTGGAGGCTAAAACGTATAAGGAATGGCTGCTGGAATTGGGTATGTCTAGTTTAACGAAGAGAAGGACGAAGGGGGACATGAAAGCAGTGTTCCAATATCTCAGGGGCTGCCACAAAGAAGAGGGAGTCGAGCTATTTTCCAAAGCGCCTGAAGGCAGGACAAGAAGCAACGGATGGAAACTGATCAAGGAGAGAAGCAACCTAAAACTAAGGAGAAACTTCCTGACAGTTAGAACAATTTACCAGTGGAACAACCTGTCTCCAGAAGTTGTGAATGCTCCAACACTGGAAGTTTTTAAGAAGAGACTGGACAGCCATTTGTCTGAAATGGTATAGGGTTTCCTGCCTGAGCAGGGGGTTGGACTAGATAACCTTCTAAGGTCCCTTCCAACGTTATTATTATTCCACCATTACCATCCCTGTCATGCTGGACTCTATAGAACATGGCCAGCCAGAAGCTCCCATCCCAGGAAAATATTTTCTGTCTCTTTTCTGCTTAGCAAAGCAGCCCCCTTACTTACCCACCAGCACCAGGACCAGCCACGGACTTGACATTGCAGCCAAGACTCTCTTCTCCTCTGCCTTTGGAGCACTTTTTCCCCTGCCCATCACTTTCCCTATGTCAGTTCATTTCACTTTCACCTCCATCTGCTCCATTTTGAGGAAGTGTGATGGGGCCAGGGCTTCCTCCTGGCTCCAGCCAAATTTTGCCAGCTCGGCTCAAATATAACAATGGTTAAAGACCTTTGCACAATGTGCTGTAGCCAGGGGAGGAAGAGGGAGGGGTATATTTGTCACCAACACTCCCACCGTCCTGCCAGTTCCCTTCCTGGGACCCCCACATTTACACCCCACTATCTGGGTTCTGGAATATGAGGGCAAAAGGCTTTTCAAAGCAGGTCCTGTTCTTCAGCAAGGTGGTCCCTATTGTCCTTTGGATTTTGGATGGAGCACAATGTTTTTAAGAATTGCCTCTAGTTTTCCTTTTTTTCACTGAGGTTACCAGGTTTTGTGATTCTAAATCCATGATGTTGGATGACAAATCCAGCCATGGAATAATCCAGGAATAATCCAGGAAAGCAAGGTGGTTCTTTTAATCGAACCACTTTTGTGCCTTAACATATGGATAGTCCTCAACTTACAACCATTTGTTTAGTGACTGAAGTTACAACAGCACCAAAAACAGCACTTACAACCATCTCCACAGTCATGTGATTGAAATTTGGGCACCTGACAACCAGCATACATTTACAACAATTGCCACATCCCAGGGTCATGTCACTGTTACTGTGATCTTCCCAGCCAGCTTCTGATAAGCAAAGTCAATGGCGAAAGCCAGCTTCACTTAAAAATTGCAGAGATTCATTTAACAACAGTGATTCTCCTTCCCGCCACACCTTGGGGTGGTAGGAAGGAGAAAGTGGTGGCTAATGAAGTCCTGGTTTCAGGCCATTCTGATCTGCAGTGAATCTTCAAAATACGTCTTAGAACATAGAGTAACAGAGTTGGAAGGGACCTTGGAGGTCATCTAGTCCAACTCCCTGGACAAGCAGGAGAGTCTCAGACAAGTGGCTGTCCAGTCTCTCCTTGAAAGCCTCCAGTGATGGGGCACCCACTACTTCTGAAGGCAAGGCATTCCACTGATTGGTTGTTCTTTTTAAAGCAGTGGTTCTCAACCTGTGGGTCGGGACCCCATTTGGGGTCGAACGACCATTTCACGGGGGTCGCCAAACAACACAGTCCGCCATTTTTTTCCCCTTTTCCTTAGCTGTGCTACTCCCTTTTATTCTATTGGCTTTTGAAAGCCAATAGAATAGACTCTCTTGAATAGAGTCTAATTCTATCGGCTTTCCAAAGCCAATAGGAATTGTCCAGGCTGTCTCTGCCCTGCTCAGCCCGCCAAATGTCCCATTCTGCAAACGGTGCTGCACCAGTTGAGTAGTCCTCGACTTACGACCGGTTGAGTAGTCCTCAACTTACGACCGGTTAGGGTCACGGCATTAAAAAGGTTGAGAACCACTGTTTTAAAGCCTTGCCTGAATTGTTAAGCCCGCAGCCCACCCCACCGCCTGCAAACGGTAACAAGAAAAACAAAACAGTGATGAATAAGAGAATGTCCCAGAATCTTTGCAAAGTGGCTTTACCCACAAAAACAACTGTAGATCTGTGCACTTCATAACAAGGGACTGAAGTCACAGGATTGTTTGGGAGAAGCTTTTCTTCTCCTTTTCTGAAGTGCTTCCTCATTTCTGTTCTGTAGGTTCCTAAGCTGTCTTGAAACCAAAATTATTTATGCTAAATATATAGCTGGAGATTTCCTGTCAGGAAAGTTAGAGAGGTTTTTTTTCTATGTTAAGAAGAAACCGTAAAGAAAATGGGAAAATAAAAAGGCTTGGAAAGAATTTTAGCAGATGTGCAACAGCTGTGAGAGATACTTTAGTTTGCATTTCTACCCCAAACAGAGATTTGGACTTGAGGATCTCATTCAACTCTATGATTCACTGGTCAGAGATCCCAAAAGGCCAACTCTAAAGAGATGGGTGGCTGATCTTTCTCAACACTATTCATGTAAGGAGTTCTCCTACATAGGAGTAAGAAAACACTCCTAGTAGAGGAGGTAGCCTGTTGGAGCAGATGAGAAGGCCCATCTTGTCTAGGATTCTGGTCCACAATCTCATAAGCAATGACCTTATTTCAATTGATATAGAGAAACTGTGGTACTACCAAAAGTTCAGTTGATGTTGGCAGCTGTCAACAAAGATGATTAGGGAATTGGAGGCTAAAACATATGAAAAACAGTTGCTGGAATTGGGTATGTCTAGTTTAATGAAGAGAAGGACAAGGGGGGATATGATAGCGGTGTTCAAATATCTCAGGGGCTGCCACAAAGAAGAGGGAGTCAAGCTATTCTCCAAAGCGCCTGAAGGCAGGACAAGAAGCAATGGATGGAAACTGAACAAAGAGAGAAGCAGCCTAGAACTAAGGAGGAATTTCCTGACAGTTAGAACAATTAACCAGTGGAAGAACTTGCCTCCAGAAGTTGTGAGTGCTCCAACACTGGAGGTTTTGAGGAAGAGATTGGACAACCATTTGGATAGGGTCTCCTGCTTGAGCAGGGAGCTGGACTAGAAAACTTCCAAGGCCTCTTCCAGTTCTGTTATTCAATGTACTCTTCCTTTTAGGCAAGCAACCCATGGGTGAGGGGAGCTCATAAAGCTCATAAATCAATAACGGGACCCCCAACTCTGGCAAGAAAGAATTGAGAGCAAATGATGGTCTGATTAGTCGCAAGGCACTAACAAAAGTCTAGCTAAAGGAGTTTGTTTCATCATCCCACTTCATACTTTTCAACAGAAGCTGGAGCAGGAGAGCTGCCAGTGAAATATCCACCATCTGCTTTCTTCTTTTGCTCAGGCAGTCCTCAACTTACAACAGTTCATTTAGTGACCGTTGAAAGTTACAACGGCACTGAAAAAAGTGACTTATGACCATTTATCACACCTATGACCATTGCAGCATCCCCATGGTCATGTGATCAAAATTCAGATTCATATTTTTGACGGTTGCAGAGTCCCGGGGTCACATGTTCTGCTTTTGCGACCGTCTGGCAAGCAAAGTCAACGGGGAAGCCAGATTCACTTAGCAAAATAAATGTTGGGTTCAATTGTGGTTGTAAGTCGAGGACTTACAACCTGTACGGATTTCTTTTTCAAGAGGAAAGCACATGTTTCCGGATTGGGGCAGAGGGGAATTAAGATAGAGAAAAGGAGGTGGGTAGATGTATTTGAAATGTGTGTGGGGGGGAGGAGGGGTGAAACTCTTCCCCGTTGCAAAATGCAAGAAAGAAGGATCCTTCTTTTATCTTGATTTTTACCAACAGAAGTCACTGGCCTCCCTTTGCATCCATCAAGAAGAGGAGTGAAACATGAATTTAATTACAAAATATGATGCAGCTTGACTGGGAGTTTTCTCTCTATGAGGTGATTTTTTTGAGAAATGGTACAGACCAGCAATTGTGTTTGTCTTCCCTGGGTTTTTCCAGGCAGTTCCTTATTAGAAAAAAAAAATAACAAACTTGTTGTTTAGCTTATGTACTTTACAAACTTCCTGATTACTATGCTTTTGCTGCTCAAACAATGTCTATAGCTGAAGCACAAATTTACCGCTCTGTAACCCAACGAAAGAGGCTAGAAGTAGAAAAAGAATAGCTCAGGGCAGTGGTTTTATTTATTTATTACGTATAATTTTATTAAAACAAAGGTTAAAAAGTTGGCTTGAAACTCAACATTAAGAAAACCAAGATCTGGCCCTCTGAATTCCTGGCAAATAGATGGGGAAGAAATGGAGGTAGTGACAGATTTTATCTTCCTGGCTTCCAAGATCACTGCAGGTGGGGACTGCAGCCAAGAAATTAAAAGACACTTGCTCCTGGGGAGGAAAGCTATGGCAAATCTAGATAGCATACTAAAAAGCAGAGACATCACCCTGCCAACAAAAGTGCGTATAGTCAAGGCCATGGTTTTCCCAGCTGCAATGTATGGCTATGAAAGTTGGACCATACAAAAGGCTGAGTGCCAAAGAATTGAGGCCTTTGAACTATGGTGCTGGAGAAGACTCCTGCGAGTCCTTTGGACTGCAAGGCGTTCAAACTGGTCAGTCCTAAAAGAGATCAACCCCGACTGCTCTTTAGAAGGCCAGATCCTGAAGTTGAAACTCAAATACTTTGGCACTTAATGAGAAGGAAGGACTCACTGGAGAAGAGCCTAATGCTGGGAAAGATTGAGGGCAATTAGAAGAAGGGGACGACAGAGAATCAGGTGGCTGGATGGAGTCACTGAAGCAGTAGGCGTGAGCTTAAATGGACTCCAGAAGATGATAGAGGACAGGAAGACGTGGAGGAACGTGGTCCATGGAGTCACAATGGGTCGGACACGACTTCGTAACTAACAGCAACAACAACAAAATGCTAATACAAACTAATAGAGAATAAGTAAGAAAAAAAAGAAAAAAAGAGACATCCAAGAAAGAGCTAAAAAACCCAAGAAAAATAATAATAATGGTACCGTAAAAGAAAAATTGGAAAAATTACAAATAAGTGGTTTTGGATCTTCTTTTCAGCAGCTATAAATCCAATTATAAATTTGCCCCTCTTTTCTTTCTATAATCTATCCTGTCTCATCATCGAAAGCAAAAATGCTTTCTGCTTTTTTTTCTGCTTCATGCAAAAAGTCCTTAAGCGGGTTCTAAGAAGTTATAGCTCCCTGGAGCAATAACTGCTTATTTTAAAAAAAGCAATTATTATTTTTTAAAACTGTACCTCAATCTAGCAGCCCTGTCCCCTAAAATCTCTCAGACAATTACCTTGCTGTTCTGTCTTGTTATATGAGTTGTAGAGGTTAACTGTTCCTCATAGCAAAAGACTCTTTTAAGGGTTGAATTCAACTGAATTTAATTCCCATTGTCAGCACCTGAACCCCTATTTCTAGCTTGAGGATAACCATCCCTTTCCTCCCATCGTGATACCTTAATTTATCCTTGGAACCAGATCAGGGGCTGGAAAGCTGATCTATATTATTTCGCAGCTGAGGTGGGAGGTGCGCAGAGCTGTGGGAATGGCCTGAATCTCCCCCCCCCTCCAGCCATCGGCTCTTCCTGGGTTCCACTATGACATCAAGGTGGAACCTTTTCAAAACCCGAGGAACTGCCAAGATGGTGGTTGGGATGTGGGCCTTCAGCAGCCCACCCCAAGAAGGGAAGAGACTGGGCACCTCTGCCTTGATCCTCATCCTGGGGGGGCTTTGGGGGAGATGGATCACAGAGGTTGGAGCTGGGCCAATGAGTGAAAAACTACCTGGTATTTATTACTTCATTTATTTATTTATTTATTTATCCATACTTCCCATTTCTACCCTGCTCATCAGGTAAGATAAGTGAAGAAGCCTGAGGAATGAGCTGAAGGCCCTTAGAGATGTTCCCAAAAGTTGTGACCCTTTTCCTGCCCCCAGGAATACCCAGGAATGGGCAGATGAAACCAAGGTGAAGGCTACAACTGCATGATCAAAGCCTTCTCTCTTTCGATATGTGTTGAATACACATACAATAAGGGAGACTTTCACTTCTTTGGTCCCGTATAATTGGGGTTGTTCACACACACACACACACACACACACACACACACACACACTCCAAAATCATGGGTGATCCCCTTGACCTGTAAATACACAATTTCTCACTGCAGGAACAAATAAGAGTCTCAAACCCAAAGAGAGACTTGGATGGGGTTCATGTGCTGCCTACAACATCTTTCTTCTCACAACTGGCAACTAAATATAACTCCTTTCCATCATTGCTTGACTCTTCACAACTGGTTTTCTAAGATATGCTGCCTCAAAACAAGGAAATCGAGTTTAGCTCTTATTAACACCTCTTTGATTGATCTATGGCCTTTGCTGATCCAGTCTGTTTTTAAGCCCTAGTAGTAATAGAAATGTTGTAGATCTAAATTTGTTTTCTGTAACATGGGATAAAAGAAGACGCATATGCATTGATATGTATGTGTGTGTGTATATATGTGTGTGCATCTGTGTATATATATACACATGTATGCATATACGTTGTGTATGTGTGTGTGTCTATAAGCACACACCTTAAATACATATATATTTATTGTAAATATTCATGTACATAGACATACATACACATACATTGTAATTATTCTTCCAAATATTGGAAAGGTCATCCAAAAATGGCTCTTTCTTTCATTTGTGATGGTCATGTGATAAAGTTATACTTTGTAATATACAGTTACTCCTTAATTTACGACCAATCACTTAGGACTGTTTGAAGTTAGGATGGACCTCCCAGGGTAATAACAACCTGGTTCTGAAGTTCCAATTTCTCTAGAGTCATGTGACTGCATTTTGGACACTTAGCAAGCGGCCCATAATTTCAACCAGTTGCAGTGTCCCACAGTGATGTGACCACATTTTATGACGTTTTTGCATTTACTTCTGGTTTTGACAACACCAGCCCATAACGAACAATTGGTTTCCTTAATGACAGCCATGGATGCTTTATGATCGAACAGGTGGATCACATGGCGGATCTGTTTTACAACTCTCATGACTTATGACCATAAGGGGCCAACTCCATTAAGTTTATAAGTCAAGCGCTACCTATAAAATTCCATGGGCGATTTCTAAACAAAGAAATGAATACAGTCTTACTATTGTTCTCCTATTTATGGGATTAAATCTCAAGCTTAAATAAGGAGTGTATTGTCTACTTCCATTTATCAGCTAAAATAGTAATGATCCAATATTGGAAACATTTAGGTAGCTTAAAAATTGAGATGTGCATTAACAAGACTTCTTCAATTGCCACATTAGAAAATATTTTTAAAAAAGATTTAAAAAGATAGAAATGTTAAAAATAATGGACCACCAGAAGCAGGAACTTAACAATATCAAATTTGGATAGACTTCATATTTAATGTCAGTTGCAATAGACCCACTATTGGCAACATTTTATATCAGTGTTTCTCAATCTTAGTAACTTTAAGATATATGGACCTCAACTCTCAAAATTCCCCTTGCTAGTTGAAACACTGCTTTACATATATGGCAAGTATAAATGTGTATATTATCTGTTTAGTAGATCTTTTATATCTGTATTTACTTCTTAGCAGATCTTTTACAGACAGCGTATTTTTATGCTGAGTTTATAGGCAAATATATGGCACACTCTCCCAGCTAAATAGAGCATCTAACTAACTTGTCTGATGAGTAACTAGATTGGAGCTGATTAGTATTTGAATGGGAGACATCCCACCCACCCCCAAACAATCCCAGCATTGTGGGTTGGCCTGAAAAGTTGATTTAAAAAAAACACTAAAAGGGGCTGTGACAAGAATCAGGAGTCATAGGTCCCAGATTTTGAGGCACATTCTATAAGTTAGCCCATTTGAAGTACCGCGGTTCAAAAATTATTGCATGCACCATTTCATCCACTTAAATGCCATGACAATGAGAGTAGTCTCTAGTTTACCTGTCTAAACTATTTAGGATGAAAGGTAGCGTATGTATCTATCCATAACTACGATGCCCGTCTCATTTCTTCTCACCAGCATCAAGCGTGTGCCCCATTATCCACCAGTATATTCCTCGTTACTCCAAAGCCTTCATCCCCATTCCCCGCTCTAACAGTTACGTTGTCCTGTGCCGAGTGAACCTCACCTCATCCCAATGTGAGTGGGTCTTGATTGCCAACAGAGGGCGCTGTTACTACTTCAACCTGGGCCTGAAGGAGCATCTCATCCTCCACCAGATGGGCCTTATCGTCATGCATATGAAGAAGGAGCTAGAAGGAGAGTATCAGGTCCTCTCTGGGATAAACCGGACCTGCCAGGGAAGGGTCTTGATGACATATGTGGGTAAGAGTCTCTGGGGGAAGGAAGATGGCAATTGTTAGAAAAATTGATGACTGTTTTTTTTTTAATCAGGGTACTGTATAGATACAGTTTAGTGCTTGTGGAATGCTTTAGTTAGGACTGTTGCTTTAGTTAGAACTGAGAAGTGATAAGCTATGAAATTCTTTCAGTGACCTCAGACCAGTGATTGTTGACTGTATCCATTAACATGACCACATCTATCCAAATGCTAGGCTTGGTTAATGCTGATATTGGAGGGTAAGATATTGTAACTTAGCATATTATGCCAACCCAGCCCTTTGATGAATTTGTGGTTCCATGTATTGTTTGGAATCTCCAAATGGGTTGATTCAAGAACTAGGTTACTCATGTTGTGTGAATGAAACTAAAAAATTTACAACACTACTTCACAGCTCACCCAACCTGAGCACACTAAAATTAAAATACTTGGACTTATGAAACCCATTGATGTCTACCTCCCCACATACTTTCACTTTCAAAGCCAAATCTGGAAAAAAATTTTTAAAAAGGGACTCCAATGGGATCCTCCATCTCAAGGCAAAGAAGCAGTGATTTAATAACAGAAATTATAGTTCTTCTGTTTACAATCTTAAATATGAATAATATATGTAGATGACCCTTACCCAAGAGAAAAGAATAATTACAGTAGAAATCATGCATTATCTAATCAACCATACATTTCATGGAATCAAATTCACAAAAGAAAAAAATAGCAAGCTATCTGAAATAGAAACAGAATAAGAGAGTTGGAAGGAACCTTGGAGGTCATCTAGTCCAAATCTAGCCCATATCTCTATCAGCGGAGATAACCATAGTTTATTACTAATACAAGTATGAAAAAGCAATTCTTGCAAACTAATTCCTCAGCAGCCATAGAACACAAAGTTGCATAAAGATTCCAATCAGTCAAGCCACAACAAACTGCAACATGCTTTGAAAAACAGAAACTTCTTGCAAGACAAATACCCATACAACTTCAAGAAAAAGTCCACCCAACTGAATATGACACAACAATTTCTCAAAAATATACCCTCCTTTACATCAAAAATATGTCAGAGTCCACCAACAGGTTATTCCACACAAAACGTTTTGTTCAAACCCATTGTTGTTGTTGTTGTTAATTGCAAAGTTGTGTCCGACCCAACGCGACCCCATGGACAACGTTCCTCCAGGTCTTCCTGTCCTCTACCATCTTCTGGAGTCCATTTAAGTTCACACCTACTGCTTCAGTGACTCCATGCAGCCACCTCATTCTCTATCGTCCCCTTCTTCTATTGCCCTCAATCTTTCCCAGCATTAGGCCCTTCTCCAGTGAGTCCTTCCTTCTCATTAGGTGGCCAAAGTATTTGAGTTTCAACTTCGTTCAAACCCATAGCAGTACTAAAGATGACAACACTGAGGTTCTGCACAAAAACACAATACAAAGACTGTGGACACTACTACATAGGACACCTCTGGAGATCCAGGAGCCCCAACAAATAATCAAAAGACCCAGTGCCAGCTCAGTAATTTCATTTCCCACCAACAATCTTGGGGCAGAGCATATTTCAACAGGGTTAGGAAACCACCAACATTTTAGATATAATTTTTTAACATTTTAACATTTTAAATCTAGGTTTAGCCAGATTGAAAAATGCAAGAGAATGCTTAGAAACCTGGGACTCTAACCAAACCACAATGAAAAAAAAACCCATCTAGACTTAAACCTATCCAGGAAGTCACCAAAAGATATTACCAAAAGTGTTTTTTTTTTTCAAAACATAACTGCCCTTCATTTTTCCTTGAAGATGTATTGCTTCTCATCCAAGAAGCTTCTTCAGTCCTGACTCTTGAAGGCTCACAGTCTTCAAGGAAAAAACAAAGTCCAGTTGCCTTTTGAAAAAGCATGGGACAACCATGGCCTGGATGGCTGAGAATCTCCACAGACATTTACCAAAGACTTCCTTCACATGTAAAGTAACTGCTACGAAAGAATCCCCTGACCACATAGGGTGTAGAAGAAAGACCGATAACATCGTTCGCAACCAATCTTATTTCCTCACTCCTGTCCTCTTGATGTTGCCAGCGGAGGCAGTGGCATATTAGCAACCCCAACATCTATCTCAAATCACACCAGATGTCAACCCATAAACTATATATATCATCTCCTATTACAATTTCAATCTTTCTCTGTCCACCACCGTATCAAGTAGCTTATTGTGAGGACCATCACAGGAAACTCTGCTATTCTGACTACTTCTTATAATTTTTCAGCAATACAGGTACTCTTTGAATTACTACTAGTAATTACAGCCATAAGTCATGATGGTCACATAGCAGATCATCCCATGACCAGTCCCAATTTTACAACCTTTGTTGTGGTAGTCATTAAGTAAAGCCATTGTTCACTATAGAGCAGTGGTTCTCAACCTGTGAGTCGGGACCCCATTTGGGGTCGAATGACCATTTCACGGGGGTCGCCAAACAATGCAGTCCGCCATTTTTTTCCCCTTTTCCTTAGCTGTGCTACTCCCTTTTATTCTATTGGCTTTTGAAAGCCAATAGAATAGACTCTATTCAAGAGAGTCTATTCTATTGGCTTTCAAAAGCCAATATGAATTGTCCAGGCTATCTCTACCCTGCTGAGCCCGCCAAAAGTCCCATTCTGCAAATGGTGCTGCACCAGTTGAGTAGTCCTCGACTTACAACCGGTTGGGGGTCGCGGCATTAAAAAGGTTGAGAACCACTGCTATAGAGCATTTTGTGTTGGAAACCAGCAAAAACATCATAAATTATAGCCACACGATCATGGGGCTCTGCAAGCTGCCGAGAATGGTATAGGGACTCCTGCTTCGGCAGGGGGTTGGACTAGAAGACCTCCAAGGTCCCTTCCTACTCTGTTATTCTGTCATCATAATCATCATTGTAGCCCTTGTCTATCCACTGTAGGATAAAGGCCTCTTCTGCATGTTTCCAACTATTATATGGTCCTGAGCTTTCTTTTGCCAGTTGGGCCCGCAATATTGTACTTCCTTAAATCTTAGATCCCTTTGCTTCTTGATCTGCAGGATTCCTTTTCTGGGAACACATAACCAATATATCCAGTGTGCAGGGAGATTTGGCATCCACAGCATGATCCTAAGCATCTTTATCCTCAAACATACCCAGTAAAGCACACTTAACTCCCACTCACAGAGATTATTCTGGAGGGGGGGGAGATAATTCAGCTTTATAGAATAATTTTGCATCTTGTTATGTACTCAGAAATCTGAATTGTCACAAATTATGGCTGAGAAGATTTCTCCTTCTCCTGATGCTTTTTTTTCACTACTAGAGCCTTTATTTCTTTATCGGATCGTCTTGCTGATCCCTGGCGCCATGTTCCTGGTGGGATTGGGAATACTGTGGGACTGGCTGATCAAAGCCCGCAGTCGCATGGGGGCCTCTGACGAAGAGCAGACCGCTAACCAGCTGATCCAGCATGTCATCCCTCCCTTGGACACCAGTGCCCGTCCATGACTGAAATTCTGCCTTTCTTCCCCATTCACTAAAGAAGTGACACCAATGTGATCTGGCATTCATTTGCTCTGAATCTATGGCTTGTAAATATCTCTTGACTGATGTCCTGCTCAAATTCTGGTTTTTGGTTCATTTGTTTCCGAGGTTGTAATTAATAAAGAGTTCTAAACCAAACTGATTTCAAGACTGGACAGCGAATGCTTGCTTGATGCTTGTTGCTCAGACAACAAATTTGATGCAGGGCTATCAGTGTCAATCCAGATTGATTTCATGGTAACCAAGGGCCAAACCACCTTAGAATCCATGAGGAGTTAGCCAGGACCTTTTGGTCAGGTAGGAATCCAGATTAAAATATCCTTGACCAATGGCAATTGAGGGTCTGTTGAACACAATCAGTGGATGGAGCCCAAGATTCAGGTGGCCCCGTCAGGGCCCACTTCAACACCTCATCCCAAGAGAGCAGAACTCATGGAAGCCGTCTCTTCCAAAAGGAACTTTTATTAGGAGAAGCTGATCACAGGCATAATAGACAGGATCTGAGGATTTCCCACTCAGATAATAGTTCATCCGGTCAGTTCAAATGGGCCAATCCCCAGGTGTTAAGTCCGTTATGGGAAAGAGCTGATACTGCCAGTCTGTCTCAGGCTTGTAGCGATTTTTGTTGGGTCTTCACACCTTCCCTTCCGAAACAGGAGATTAGCCAGATGGCCAGAGGCACAGTCCTTTCTCCCCCACACCACCACCACCAAAGAGCAATTATTCAGAACAGTGAAAGGGTTACATTGGAGCTATGGTGAGAAACAAAGAGACAGCCCGCAGCGTCTTCCCCCCTCCCTTCCAGGAGTATGACAGAACCAAGAATAAGAGAAGGAATAGAATTAGAAAGAGCCCCTTTAATAATATGGGTTCTGACATCCCCACTCCATTGTGGTTTAGGAGGGCCACGAAAACCTGGCCCTTGACCCAGGTTTTGGCAAGGAAGAATTATGTTCCCTTTGGATTATGTGACTTTCATTTCTATTTCATTCCTCTTCAGAGCTTTTTTTTATTCTTGCCATGTTCTTTCTTCATATCTGTCTGTCATTGCATTCTTTTCCTTGTTTTTACTTAGGAGCAGTCTATAAATGTTGGGAATTGGGTGACTTACAAATGTTTCTTTTTTAAAAAAAGAATCAGCCAAACTCGTCTGAAAACCGACAACCTCAAAAGGAGGGCACCAGGAGGAAAATGACAAGCATAAATCAATATTTCTCGATCTTGACAACTCTTAAGATTGAGATTAAACATGCTGACTGAGGAATTCTGGGAGTTGAAGTCCACACTCTTAGAATTACTAAGGTTGAGAAACACTGCACTAATAATACCATCTTGATCCTCTTCCTATAGGTCAGACATGTCAAACTTGCCACGTCATGTGACATTGTGCAATGTATCAGAGCTTTTTCCCCATTGCTGGCAATGGGGTGGGCGTGGTTTCATTCTGATGCCTCTGGTCCGCGGGCCGGCAGTTTGATGCCCCTGCTATAGATCCACTCTGAAAAGAAGTTTCAGGTGGGACTGGGATTTGGCTGACAGCTTACACTGAGCAATAAATACTTTAATTTGAAGTAGAGATTGGGAATAACTGCAATCATTGAAAGTTGAATGTCAACTGATCCAGCACATGTCCAACATCAAATAGAGATAGCAATAGCAATAGAACGTAAACTTATATACCGCTTCACAGTGCTTTACAGCACTCTCTAAGTGGTTTAAAGAGTCAGCATATTGACCCCCAACAATTTTTACTGACCTCCAAAGGATGGAAGACTGAGTCAACCTTGAGCCTGTCAGAATCGAACTGCAGGCAGCTGGCTGGCAGTCAGCAGAATTAGCCTGCAATACTGCATTCTAACAAATGGCTCTTCCAGATTTAGGAGCCTAACCAGTTCTCGGTTTGCATGCAGCCATTGTTTATGGGTGCTGAAAGGTGTCATTTGAACATTGAGCATTGCAGGTAAGTGGAGAAATGCATTAAATAGGAATACAGTGACTTGCCCAGTGAAAGCAATATTCTAAATATGAGGGCTGAGAATAGGAAAAAATAGATAGATGGATCTAAATTTTTCCTAAGATGACATTGGGGAGTTTGGCAGAAGACTACTGGAGCATGCATGGGAAACCAAGGCATTTATTGGTACAAACTGAAATATTTCCAAGATGAGTGAGCATGGCAGACACAGGAAGAAATCAGGCTGGATAATGCAACTGCAAGACTGGGGTCTTTGAAGTCCCACTGCCACTTTTTGTCAAGATATTCTGATGCAAGCAAAGTGGAGGGGATAGAGGAAATTTCTATACAGCTATTCAGAACACACAGGTAAAGCAAAATATATACCCCTCTCCCCAAATTGAGTATGCAAAAAAATGGGCTTCTTGGCACAAAGTATATACATTTTTTCATATTTCTTTCCATTCTGGTCTCTGATCCAACATTTTGCAGCTGCTGTTAAGTGACATAAAACTGGTGTCAACTCTCAGCACCCACATAGATACCGTAGGTATTCCTTAGATCATCTTCTGAAGAACGTAATACCTTCGGGTATTCCAATAATATTCCCATTGCCTCTGTAATCAGCTCCATCTATTTTGCAGCTGGATATTATTTTTTTTCCTCTTCCACCTTTGGAAGGACTGTGGACTTCTCAAGAAATCTGGGTCTTTGTATAATGTGTCCAAAATATGATAATTCAAGCCTGGTCACTATTTTGAGTGAGAACTCTGGGTTAATTTGTTAGATGACCCATATCTTTGTATTTTCAGGAATCTTCTCCAACTCCAAAGTTCAAAAGAGTCAATAAGCTTTCTATCCTGGTTCCTTAAAGTCCAGCTTTTGCTTCCTTAATATAATTCTTTATTAAGAATTCTTTATTTAGAATAGAATAGAATAGAATGGAATGGAATGGAATGGAATGGAATGGAATGGAATGGAAAATGGAATGGAATGGAATGGAATTGTAAGGACCCACCTCACTTTGCATCTTAAGAAGACAGAACTCTTGGAATATTTCTTCCATCAGGCATCTTTATTAAGAGAAGATGGTTGCAGGAGTTCTAGATAGGACCTGAGGCCCAACCCCTACCATTCAAGGTTTTAAGTGTTCCCAAGCAGCCTCCAGCCCACCGTTCATCCAGCGACAATCCCAGGCATTACATTTCCACCCCCTTTTCCTCATGGCCGGCGGAAGGGAGACTTCAGAGAGTAGTAGATGAAAGCTGATGGCCATATTGTTATGGTCAGTCCTCTTGGTGAGATCCACATTCAGCCCCTTTGAAGTTTTAATGAAGGAAGTGAGAGCCATAAAACCCCTTTGCTCATCCCCCTTCCCCTTCGTAGTATGACATAATCCAGAGAGGGCAGAAATGGGGTTTTCCATAGTCAATAACTAGAAATGAAATATAATTGGATTCTGACAGGAATGGAAAATGGAATGGAATGGAATGGAATGGAACGGAATAAAATTCTTTGTTGGTCAAGTGTGATTGGACACATAAGGAAGTTGTCTCTAGTGCATAAGCTCTCAGTGTACATACAAGCAACAAGTGATAAATCATGATCATAATCATAAAACGCAATCATCATAAATCATAATATACAACACTCAGTGAATATCATGATACTAAATAGGCAATCAACATAAATCATAAGAGGATACTACATAAAAGCAATCAAGATAAATCATAAGATGCAATTAACAAAGTTATAGTCATAACATGCTAAAGGAATAGATAATAGGAAAGTTGAGAAGGATAATAGTAATACAGCCCTACCAGGTGGTTTGACATCCCAGGGGCATAAGACAGCGTTGTGGGAATTAGTTGTTTAGCAGAGTGATGGCATGGGGGAAACAACAGTCCTTGTGCCTAGTTGTTTTGGCATGCAATGCCGTACTACAGCATTATAGGGTGATGAGCATTAAAGGGTGACGAGGTAAACCAAAACTTGTTGAGATATAAACACAACCCAGTATTTGAATATTTGAATATCCCTACTAAGACCTTCAACCAAGGACAGGAAGTACGGCTTGCTCTCATTATTTTTGCCTGCAGTGGAATGCATTGAAAGGAAGTAAAATCTTGCACCACAGGTGGACAGAGGCAACCCCTTTCCTCACTACTGTCAATGGGTCAAGAAAATTAAGCACAAATAGAAGATCAAGTTGAAAACTGGACGTATAGAACTCTCTGCGCCTAGAGCAATCATCATGGACCACAATAGTCAGGTCAGCACCACTTTCGAATCTTTCAGCAACTGTTTGCAAAGGCTGAATAGATTGGACTGTCTCTTGAAAGAGCCCTGGTGGCGCAGTGGTTAGAATGCAGTATTGCAGGGAAACTCTGCCCACAGCATGGAGTTCAATCCTGATGGGTTGGGCTCAAGGTTGACTCGATTTTCCATCCTTCCAGGTCCATAAAATGAGGACCCAGATTGTTGGGGGCAATATGTTGATGTTGTAAACTGCCCAGAGGGTACTGTAAAGCATTATGGGGTGGTATATAAGTCTACATGCTATTGCTATTACTAATAAAAGATCCATTCTAGCACATCTCAATGGTTTCATTTTTCACCAGGCTGTTCATTGCAATGCGGCATTCTGAACTAAGATCTCAAAGCACCAGATTCCACACTGAGAGGGGGTAGCTGCTTTGGGTGCTGAGAAAGGGGAGCAGCTCTTCATGGAAGCATTCTTGGAAGGTGTAAAGATGGGTCATGCTGCTGCTGTTATAAAAATAGAGATGCCCCCCTTCAAAGTCCAGGTAGATCCCAACTTTTTCCATCCTCCCGCAGACCGAGAGGGGCGTACGGGGTTCACTCAGAGCTTGGTACTCTCCAGCCTTCAGCTCAATGGCCCACACGCCTTCCTTGGGTAGAACGTTCAGCCGCTTCTTGTGCTTCACAGACTTTTTGGCCATCCCCAACACCCAACCGGTACTGTCCCCGACTTCGATCTCCCAGTAGAAGGTCCCAGTGGTAATTCCTTTCCATCCCACCACACACAAGCTCGAGGTGAAGCGCTCTGACTTTTGTCGCCTGAAACATTGGTTGGGACTGGACTTGACTCCAGTGGCTTCTTTCAAGAGGACCAGGCTGGGTTGAGCTGAGTTGCAGTCCGAAATGAAGTTTGCAGGGACTGCAGAGGGAAGATGGAAAGAATTAAGAAAGAAGAAGAATGCCAGCTATTGCAGGAATATAAAGTGGTCCAGAAAAAAAATTAGATACAAATGAATGTCTATTAGCCATCTTTTAATAGAACTACTGCCATCCTCAATATATCTGAAGCTTCCTTTCTCTGTTTTAGCCCAAATTACATTACAGGGTAATTATATGTTATGGAGTCCTAGAAGAGGTCAACCCCGACTGCTCTTTAGAAGGCCAGATCCTGAAGTTGAAACTCAAGTACTTTGGCCACCTAATGAGAAGGAAGGACTCACTGGAGAAGGGCCTAATGCTGGGAAAGATTGAGGGCAATAGAAGAATGAGACGACAGAGAATGAGGTGGCTGTATGGAGTCACTGAAGCAGTAGGTGTGAATTTGAATGGACTCCAGAAGATGGTAGAGGACAGGAAGACCTGGAGGAACGTTGTCCATGGGGTCGCGATGGGTCGGACACGACTTCGCAAGTAACAACAACAATATGTTATGGGGTGATTACAGCAATTAAGCAATTATGTTTGGAAGAGTTAGTGGTAAAATGAAAAGCCAAAGAACACCATCAAAGCTGACACCAGCCAGAGTACAAAAAAACTCAAAGAAGCACTGCAAGATTGGAAGATGTGGAGAGATCTGGCTCATAGAATCGCCAAGATTGAATGGAGAATATCATCAACATCATCACATTACAGGATTATTGCTGTGGAGGTACATAGCCTTGAACTTCCAGATAAAAGGTAAGGGGTCAATAAAGTAAAATATTTGTAGCTCAGGGTTGAAATGGAGGATCCTTGGTGCTCTCTGAGCTTGCTTGTTTTCTTGCAGACATTCCATAACCCAAACTAGCATTAATGATGTTATCTAGTTTGGGTAATGAAATATCTGCAAGAAAACAACCAAGTTCAGAGAGCATCAAAGACCCCTTAACATAGGGTGTAAAAGTAATACATCGATACCAATTCATTTGGTCTAAAAACCTCATCTCACCTGGATGGACCGCACCCAGGAGCTCCTTCCAGGAGCAGAATTGCAGAGGTCCTTTAAACTCGCCCAGGTTCAAGTCTACAGCCACCACTCCATCTTCATCTTCTTCCTTCTCCTCTTCTTTCTCATCATCATCTTCAGCATCTCTCATCAACCGAGCAACCCCATTCAAAAATTCATCTGTGTCGTCACTGCTGGTGTCGTCACTGCTGTCCCCTAGCCCATCTTCTCCTACTAGTTTGGCACCTAGTTCAGGTTCATCAGGTTGTTCCTTACTTACCCTGGGGAAGGGCATCCCAAAAGGGACAAACTTTTTTACTTCCCCCTCTTCTTCCTCATCACTATCTTCAGCATCTCTCATCAACCGATCAATCTCATTGACAAATTCATCTGTGTCATCACTGCTGGTGTCATCATTGCTGGCCCCCAACCCATCTTCTCCTACTAGTTTGGCACCTAGTTCAGGTTCATCAGGTTGTTCCTTACTTAACCTGTGTAGAAGAAGGGCATATCAAAAGGGTCAACCATTTTAGAATAAGCTGTCCCAATTCTATCAAACCTAGAGGAATCACATCTGGGTCCTTCTACAGAGAGATATCTGAGTACTACTGGTCAAAAAAAAAAATGCTGCCATTTTTTTTTCTTTCACCTCTTTAGTGGATTTTATGCAATAAGGAAAAACAGCATGAAAAATATTGGCTGAAAATGGGAGGATTAGAATTGGAATTACACCTGGATATGTCTTCTGCTCCATAAGTTAGGTTTTATTATAAGCATGTGTGCATTTTTTTTTAATAATCACAGCAGAGAACAGCACAAAGCCAACACAGGATTATTTCCCAAAAAGTTAAGTAGGTTCAGATCCGATTAATATTTCCCAGGGCAGCTGCAAAAACCAGGAGAAGGTGATGGCCAACTGTTGCCAAGAAAACAACCAGGTTACCATCAAAAGTGGTGATGTTTTACTAATTTTACAGAGATTTTAGAAGTGATTTGGATACTGTAGGAGTTAAAGGGCCAGAAGAACAATGAACTCATTAAACTCTTTGACCAAATCAACCTTGCTTTGCCTCTGCTACCAAGAAGGAAGAGGACCCAAGTTTATCATTGTAGCAGAGCTTTTCGATGGAAGTAAAGAAGTAACCACCTTCACTTCCATTCGTGGAGGAGCTTCACCTACTCATTTTGGCAAATCCAGCAGCTTCTGAAAGGTGGAAGAGGAAGTCCAGCTGTCCTCCCCCATGCCTATTTGTCTTTGCAGGCAAACTGATGTAGCCTGCAGGGTCAGCCCTCCCTGCTGGCTCATACTTTTCTTCCTTTCATACATTTATTGTGTAGGTAATCTTTCACTTAACAGCCATTCATTGAGAGACCCTTGAAAAGAGTGGTTTACAACCAGTCCTCAACATTTACAGCCGTTGTAGCATCCACATGGTCGTGATCAAGGTACAGGTGCTTGGCAATCAGCATGCATTTAAGATAGTTGCCATGTTTGGGGGGGTCGCATGACTGTCATTTATGACTTTCCTTCCAAACCGGCTTGGAGCAAGCAAACTCCAAGGGGGAGGCTGGATTTGCTTAACGACTGCAGTGGTTCACTTAACAATCGTGGCAAAAAAAAAGATCTTAAAATCAGGGGTGACATTTTAACAACCACCTTCCTTATCAGTGGAAATTTTGGTCCTAACTGTGGCTGTAGCTCGACAACTACCTGTATAAGAAAAGAGAAACACCACTTACCTCTCTAGCAACTCTTTTGCCTCCTATGGGAGGGAAGGAGGGAGAGAGAGAGAAGAAGGAAGGAAAGAAAGAAAGAAAAGTGAGAGAACCATCAAAATAATTCTGTCAGTGGGATATCACCCACTTTCCTGTCAATGCGTCCTGCATTTTAATGGTACACAACAGATTCTGCTCTCAGCAGATCCTGCCCTAGTTTATTATCAAAAAAAAGTAATCCCAGTGAAATACTATCACAACATAGAAAGAAGAAACAAAAACTGAGGACTGTAGAGCCACAGTGCTTGATATGCCACTGACAATCTGAGGTGATGAAGGCGCATGTACTGATAGATCTCACTTTTACATGAAAAAACACTATGGAATCTAGTAATTGTTATAGAAAGTCAGTCTAGCTTATTTTACAGTATTTGTTTAAGAAAATCTATTTAGCCACCCAACTCACTCTCAGTGATTACGGGTGGCTTACGAAGATTTAAAAAACCCACAGAGATTTTATCAGTTGTGACAAACACTGATTGAACAAATCATGGTGCGAGACGTTTTATATTCGAATGTAATAACAACAATAACAATAATAATAATGTTGGAAGGGACCTTGGAGATCATCTAGTCCAACTCCTGCTCAGGCAGGAAACCCCATACCATTTCAGACAAATATATTTTATTCTTTATACTATTTCCATCTTCCCTTAAAATATTAACAGAATCCACAATGGTCTGAGAATCAGTGCCCCAAAGTTAATCCAATTAGCAAACTTCCTCAAATCCCAGAATAAATTACCTAGACCTAATCCACATATCAGAAGATAAGGTCTGCAAACACAAATAATGTTAATTAAACTAAGTCTCCCAGCAGAACTGTATGTTCAGAAGCACAAGCACACACACACACACACACACACACACACACCTTAACATGTAAACACTTCCACATCCCAGACAAGCTCCCCCTATAAAACTTTGCCACTGTACCCCATTTCTTTGCAGCCTGCTCCTTCTTTTGCTTTTAAGAATAAAGATTTATTCTTTCCTCATAGTTGTCTGGAACTCATTTTTATTTACGATAATTTACATTCCAACCCTGGCTTGAGTTAGAACCCCAAATTATTCTTCTGACAATTGTTTGTACAAATCTATGCACCCAACAATTTTTTTTTCTTCCCAAGAAAACCCCACAGCCCACGGTCCTCCGTACCTTAAGGAAACTTATGTGATCTTTGCACTCAAGGCCGGCCTGTATGCGACACAGAGTTTCTGAACATGAGGCCATCTTGCAGTCCAGTTCCTTTAACTTAGTTTCCATCTGAGCCAAGTTCTTTTCTTGCTGGTTTTCTAAGGACTGCTTTATAGCCAGCTCCCTGTCGTTCAGCAGCTGGTGCATCTTCACAAACTCTCCAGAGACGTGATCAGACAAGGATTCGGAACAGATCTGGAAAAACATAAATGGGGCACAAGATTATGGTTTGGGCAAACAGAAATGATCACCTGTCACAATGATGTTGGTTTTGGGGAAAGACTCCTGAGACTACCTTGGGTAGCTATGAAAAAGAAATCCAATGGACCATTAAACAAATCAACTCATTTGAGTTCTTATTTGAAGCACTAATGACTCAAACATCCTACTTTGGGCATGCGATGCGAAGACCGGACTTTCTGAAGGAGGCTCTAATACTAGGAAAGATGGAAAGAAAGAGAAGATGAGGAAGAACAAAAGCCAAGATGGTGGACATAGTTACAGTGCCAATGTGGGCACCATTGGAAAATCTGAAAAACCAGGTTAGGGATAAATTGTCATGGAGAAACTCCGTTTTTCTATGGGTTAAAAACTACTTGATAGCGTATAATTTATTTTGTTTATTAAATTTATATGCCACCCATTTCACTGTCAGGTAAGTCATAATCAATCGATCAATCGATGCCACAATGATGATTACCTAAGCAAAACCAGCAATTTAAATCTTTTGCCTCTATTATAATGTAGTGACAACACACATATACACACATATGTACATATATACTCACAAAGTTCCATTTATTTACGTACACACACACACACACACACACACAGCTCTGTGGGGTCCTTGGTGCACTCTGAGCTTGATTGTTTTTCTTAAAGATATTTCATTACCAAACTAGGTAATATCGTCAGTGCTAGAACAGAGTGCAAAGCCCACTCCCTTCCAGCACTGATGATGTTACCTAGTTGAGTAGTGAAACATCTGCAAAAAAACAACCAAGCTCAGAAATCACAAGGACCCCTCATGTCAGCCCTGAGCCACAAATATTCCCTTCTATCAGTACACAAAGTTCTAATTATAAGAGTGTCTTTTGTGGCAGCTTAGAGCACCACAATGCTTCCAAGTGTTTATAACTAAATTGAGAATCCCAGGGGGAAAAGGGAACAGAATGGAATATCCGGAAAAATGCCTGGCTGACAACTTCGGTCACTTGAATGCCACACTACAACATTTGTATTTATTTTTGAATGCTCTCAATGTCAAGCAAGCAAGCAGGTAGCTTTTCTTTTCTTTAGACTAAATTGCAGGAGCCTGGATTAAATGCTGACCGTCAAACACCTAATATTAAATCAGTGAGCTACAAATGGTTGCTGGGATAAAGAGAGAGAAGATACACGCAGTTTAACATTAAACAGAAAGTCCGATCAGCACCACTTCCCAGCTGCACCTTTAATTCGATAATGTTCTCCTGCTGGTGACACTGACTCCTTTTCAACTGTCTGAGATCTTCCTCAAGAGGCTCCAGAAATGCTTTCAGCTGGTCCTGAAGGGAAGAGAAAATTCAGGTCTGACTTAAAATGAACACCATCATTTGATTGATCTCAGGACAATTTCATACCTCGCTGCTGCTTGCAGATGCTAATCCTGCTATAACATTTGTGTTGCCAGGTTCTGCTCAACAGTGCTTAAAATCTGTTCCCAACCAGCCTTAATGAGCATTTAATTTGTTAGTTAAGAGTGTTTCTGACTGTGATAGATTTAGTTACCAATATATTAATTTTTGATGTTTCCCTGCATTTATTTAATGTATTTCTTTTTGCTGATAGAACTTTTTTAGACTTTTTGCTTTCAGCTTTTTTTTAAGTATATGGTTTTTGTACAGGTTTTCCTTTTTATACTTTTTAGCTTTTTTAAAAATTATTGTTTGTATCCCATTATCCTTATGCTGGTGCATGACTGCAATAGAGATTGGATTGATTGAACATCTTTTCAAAGACAACAAGACTGGGTAGCAATAATGCCATACATTTCTTGAAGATTTTTCCTGAAGACGGCTTACATTCCTGCATTCATTCCCTGTGTGGTCAACAGGAGCTGAAAACAACTTGACGGTGCATAATCAGCCAAGTGTTTCTCAACTTCAGCAACTTTAATCTTGCTGACTGGGGAATTCTGGGAGTTGAAGTCCACAGTTACTAAAGTTGAAAAACACTGACCTAGAGCAGTGATGGCGAACCTTTTAGAGACCATGTGCTCAAACTGCAACCTAAAACCCACTTATTTATCGCTGGGGTGCCAGGTGGGCGTGGCCCACTGGGCGGACGTGGCTGTGGTGGTCATGGCAGACTGGGTGGGTGTGGCCAAGGTGGGTGTGGTCACCTCAATGTTGCTCATGGGGAGGGATGCCTGTGGTGGCCGGCAGGGTTGGGAGAGATCCAGGGGGTCTCTGGCAGGTGGGGCGATGGGCAGGAGGCTCGTCCTGCAGGGTGAGGCGAGGCGAGGCGAGGGTGCCATTGTTGCAGGGCAAGGCGAGGCAGGGGCCGGGGAGGCTGCTGCCTGACACCATCGGCCCCCACACACAGAGGCCAGCGAGCGCATGGGGCCGACAGTGTCCGTCAGCAGCCACAGCCTGCTGGACCTTCTGGAGCACCACAGCCTACCCCCAGCAGTTCAGAGAAGCTGCCTCTGAGCTGGACGGCCGGCTGACAGCTGAGGAGGAAATGCAATGGGTTGTGCTCAGGAAAAGGAGAGCTTGCAAGGCCGGGAGGGATGGGACAGGGGGAGGGAAACCAGCCGTGCTGGGATGCATCTGGCCACGTGGGACCTTGGCGAGTTAGCGGGCAGCTGGTTGAAGAGGAATGGTTGCCATCTCTGGAGCATGGCGCACATGCCCACAAAGAGGGCTCTGAGTGCCGTCTCTGGCACGTGTGCCATAGGTTCGCCACCACTGACCCAGACTTTGCCTTGAAACTGGCCAGTCCATAATGGCTTAGCTAATGCAACTGGAAGTGTAATTGATAGGTATTTTGTCTTGTAAGCCTGTAACTTGCCTAGAGGGAAATTCCTTTCCCAATGCTGCTGCTCCTCATATAATGTCCTTAAGCTAGTTTGTCACTCTCAAACTAATTCCCAGAACTAAACTCTTCCTTCCAATAGCAGTCATCTCTTACCCTTAGCAGCCACCTAGTGGTTAAGCCTAAGACTAAAAATCAGGCTTGTCAGATGCTATATTTTTTCTACCCTGCTCTATGGAGTAGAGAGTTGGTCTCTGACAGAAGGCCACCTGAAGAGACCAAAAGCATTTGAAATGTGGATTTACAGGCAGCTGTTACATATAAGCTGGGTTGACAAGATCAGAAATGAGGTGATAAGCCGCCTGGGAAAGCCAAGGGAAATCATCAAAACAATTAAAAAACGAAAATTAGAATATTTCGGACATGTGATGCGACACCCAGAAAAATACGGCATACTCCATTTAATCCTCCAGGAAAAGATTAAAGGCAAACGAGGTCCAGGCAGAAGAAGAACACCGTGGCTTCAAAATCTAAGGGACTGGTTTGGACAAAACTCAGCAGCACTTTTTCGTGTAGCTGCTGATAAAAACAGGATTGCCAACATGATCGCCAATGTCCGATAACGGATATGGCACAAGAAGAAGAAGTGGTTAATAGATCAAATCTTCAGGAAGTGGGAGATGAATCATATATCCGGTATGTGAGTTACAGATTCAGTACAGTATTAGTGTTTCTCCATGCGTTTCAGAGTGAAAATGTAGCTGGTAAATATTGGGAGGTTTCAGAAGCTCCATTTCAGTGTTCCTGTTTATCATGATACTTATTATGATTTATATATGATATGAACTCTACTTGCATTTCATCTTGGCTTGCAAAATAAGCCCTCTCGAGTGGAGAGATAGAGAATGAGAGATGAAATATGAGAGATGAGACAGAGAGAGAGGGAGGGAGAGACAGAGACTGAGACAGAGAGAGAGAATGAGAGGGAGGGAGGGAGGGAGGGAGCGGGAGAGGGAGAGAGAGAGAGAGATTAGTGTCTTGTTCAACCAGAGGTCACCTTTTTTCTCTTCCCAGGATCAGCTCTCACCTGATAGGTCTGAACCGCGTTTTTGATGGGCAGAAAGTCGTGTCCCCGGTGCTCAGGCAAGTCCCGGCAAATGACGCAGACGGGCGCCTCATCTTGGCTGCAGAAGAGCTTGAGGGGCTCCTCGTGTTCCTCACAGAAGTACCAGCTGCCGGTGCCACTCAGCTGAGCCCCTTCATCCAGCTTCAGGAGCCGGGCCTTCTCAGACAAGCTGCAGAGGGCTCGGTTGATGGTCATGTGGTGCAAAGAAAAGGGGCGCCGGCACTCGGGGCAAAGCTCTCTGGGTATGCAGGGCTCCAGGCAGGGAGCGCAGAAGCTGTGGCCACACTCCAGCATGCGGGGGTCCCGAAAGAGGGAGAGGCAAATAGGGCACAGCAAGTCTTCAGTGAAACTGGATACTTCTCGTACTGAAGCCATGTTGGTCAATTCAAAGACAGCCTGCACAGGTTTCCCAGGTAGAATTGCCTCTATTTCAGCCTGTTGAGTGAACATATAACATGGAATAATAGGGTTGGAAGAGACCTTGAAGGTTTTCTAGTCCAACCCCCTGCTCAGGAGACCCTATACCATTTCAAACAAAGGACTGGCCAGTCTATTCTTAGAAACCTCCAGTGTTGGAGCATTCACAACTTCTGGAGGCAGGTGGTTCCACTGATTAATTGTCCTCAGTAACAGGTTATTTATCCTTAGTTCTAGGTTGGATCTCTCTTTAACAAGCTTCCACCCATTACTTCTTGTCCTGCCCTCAGATGCTGTGGAGAATAGGTTGAACCTTTCTCCTCTGTGACAGCCCCTAAAGTACTGGAAGCCTGAGGCAAAGGGGTGTCTGCCATCCCGGAGAGATCAGACGTGGACACCAAAGTCATCAATACCAAAACTACTTTTCTTACAGGGTTACAGAAACAGCGTCTGAGTGGGCCTCCCTGTTCCCTGCCTTTATCCCAAAGTGAACCAGGAAGGATAAAACCCTGAGACATTTTCTCAAACTGCATTCCTGTTTTGGACACAGAAATTTCTTACCTCACCGCTGCCTTGGCTGCGTCTCTTCCTCCTCTTCCTCAAGGTGATTCTCACAGCCCAGTTGCAGGGTGGGGAAACCCCTCAATGCGTCAGACCTGCTGGCAATTAAACCTCTAAATAAAAACCATCCTTGGCTCCATCTATTGAGAAAGGCACGGCTTTATTAGAAGTCAAGTGTACTGCAGTAGCGCATAGCCAGAAATGAGAACTGTGTGCCTAAAGCCCAAAGTTTAACCTTCCCCTCCCTTACCTACCTCCCATCACTCATCCCCTGTGACCGGTTAAATTCAGGCAGGAAGTAACAGCCAGTCCATGTACAGGAACATATGCAGCGGCTATGCCTGAGAACGTTGAAACAGCCTCTCAAAGAGATGCATAACTTACTTCCTTTCCCCACCCTGATTTCCTGTAGAACGTACTTTCGTTTTCTCTCTTGCCTCCCTCCCTCCCCACAGTTCATGGCAGTCTGTCACCATAATGTAGCGAAGCACAAGCAAGCATAAGATGGCAGCTGGCACAATATTTCTCTGGATCGCCAGGAAAGCTTTTTATTCTTATTATTTCAGACTTCTTCATTTGCATGAAAAGCCTCACCCAATAAAAAGGCACTTGGCTCTTGTTCAACTTGGGCAACTTTAAGATATGTGGACTTCAACTCCCAGGACTCCTCAAGCAGCCTTCACCAGAATTCTCCTTGCTCACTGGGGGATTATGGGAACTGAAGTCCACATATCTTAAAGCTGCCAGGGTTGAGAAACAAGAGCTGTAGTTACTCCCTGCTTGGTGTTTTGCCTTTCTCTTTCCTGTTGTATCACCCACACATGAATATTTTTCTAGTGTTCCTTGTAATTACGGATAGTCCTCGACTTACAATTGTTTGTTTAGTGACCTTTGGAAGTTACAACAGTGCTGAAAAAAGTAAACTATGACCATTTTACACACTACTGTTGCAGCTGCCCCAGGGTCACATGATCAAAATTCAGACACTTGGCAACAAGCATGTATTTATGATGATGGCGGTGTCCTGGGATCGTGTGATCGCCCTTTGCGGCCTTCTGACAAGCAAAGTCAATGGGGAAGCCAGATTCACTTAACAACTCAGTTATTAACTTAACAACTGCAGTGATTCACTTAACAACTGTGGCAAGAAAGGTTGCAAAATGAGGCAAAATTCACTTAACAACTGTCTCGCTTAGCAACAGAAACTTTGAGCTCAATTGTGGCCGTAGGTAGAATATTATCTGTATGGATCATCAGGTAACCAGGGGCCAGCCAGTTGTTGTCTTCCAACCCAGCCTACCTCACAAGATTTCCACTGTAAGGGTAATTAAAGGGAAATTTCCTCCATATAACCTGTTTTTGTTCCTGGAGAGAGAAAAAAGGTGGCTAAAATTAATCAAACAGATGTCTAGCAGTTACTGAGAAGCAATGAAATTGTGCTAGCTAGTCAGAGCCCACTCTAATACTTCCAGCTATTTAAAAAAAAAAATGCTGAATCCTATCTTTTATACTCTCAAATCCAAGAATCCCAGCTTGGAGATTGAGGTGGAGCATAATCTCCAATTCTCCTTGTAGAAATTCCAAGCAGAACTTTTATTTAAAAAAAGTTTTATTTCCTGGAATGTTGAGTTCTTCCAAACCATCCAGGTCTAATCCTTCAGAAGACTTGACTTAGAAGAAATCAACAATCCTGTTCTCATTCCTTTCTATTTCGGCCTCTTTCTAGGGAATCCCAAAACCTGGTACCCATAAATAAATAAATTGCTAGCATGGAACCCATGTTAAGCAAGACTAAGCATTTAATTCAGCATATTTCGAGCCTGGTTGTCATGGTTCCGACAGATGAAACTCTTCAAAAGAACTTTGAGGCATTGTTTACCTTAAAGAATCTTTTATTTGAGAAACAAAGTATCAGCACTACATAGTTAAAGTCAAAAACTGAATTCCCCCCCCCTGCACAAAGTAGCAAAGCACAATTCCCTCCTCCAATTAACAGTCATAAATCACATTTCCCAATTAGCCTGAAGCAAGGGATTTCTCCCCAGCTCTCCAGCCTGCCAAATTTCTATCAACTCTGGACCTAATAACCTTGGATTCCCACGGCTGAGTTATTATTGTTATGACTAGTTGGACTCTCATCCACATTCCCTCTCCCAGCATCAACTTACTCTAAAAGCAAAAGAGTAAAATGGCTGCATTTCCATCTGTTGTCAAAGCAAGAGCATCCGATGTTAGCAGCGTTGACACAGGGTAGACCTTTGCATACTTTCTATCAAGAGAAATCACTCTGAATCACTCTTCAGCCATGGAGGGTGGTGGAGGAGAGATTTATCTCACCGGATTGGAATTTGAGAGAGACTTAAACCAGAATTTTGGGTCACTGCAGAGAATTCAGCCCAGAATAACTTCCTATAAACCCCAAAGTTGCTAATAACATAGTGTTTTATGGAAGATTTTAATTGAAATTTGACTTTTTAAGAACTGTTTAGAAAAGCCACCAGAAGCAATTATTAACAAGAGATCTGAACCCATTCCAAAATCACCCCAGCAATAAATAATTTCTTGCAGGAACTCACAGTGCAATAAATTAAGTGAAAAAAATATACAACATATGAACTACTTTAAAGTATATTTCTGTTGCAGGATCTAACCTGAGTTGGTCACAGGGACCAAAGTTTATTCTACCAAGTTTTCCAGCTTGTGCTGGAGCCCATCCTCAGGAAACTTCTTTCTCTCCCGAATGTGTGCACTGGGCTATTCTACGCGTTGTATTTATATGGTGCCTGGTTGTGTGTGGCTTTTAGTTGTTAATTTTATTTCTATTCCCACTTTCCATTCAGTCCTTTCAGTTTGGGTCTATTTTGAATGGGAAGACATCATGAAAAGCCAAAGCTGTTTGAAACAAGTTGACTCGGAAGCAAAGCCCACCGAATTCAATAGATTTACTTCCCATTATGTTTAGAACTTTGTATTTTCTCAGGAAACCTCAGATATTCTTCCCCATCTCCATCTCCTGCCCCAAATGATATTTCTTTCTCTTCTGGTCTCTGATCCAACATTTTGCTGCTGTTGTTAAGTGACATCATACAGATGTCCACTTTCAGCACCCACATTGATACCGTAGATCTTCCTCAGATCACCTTCTGAAGAAGGTAATACCTTCAGGTATTCCAATCATATTCCCATTGCCACTTCTCAAGAAATCTGGGTCTTTGCATAATGTATCCAGAATATGATAATTCAAGCCTGGTCACTATTTTGAGTGAGAACTCTGGGTTAATTTGTTAGATGACCCATATCTTTGTATTTTCAGGAATCTTCTCCAACTCCAAAGTTCAAAAGAGTCAATATGCTTTCTATCCTGGTTCCTTAAAATCCAGCTTTTGCTTCCTTAATATAATTCTTTACTAAGAAATCTTTATTTAGAATAGAATAGAATAGAATAGAATAGAATAGAATAGAATAGAATAGAATAGAATAGAATAGAATAGAATAGAATTCTTTATGGGTCAAGTGTGATTGGACACATAAGGAATTTGTCTCTGGTGCATAAGCTCTCAGTGTACATGCAAGCAACAAGTGATAAATCATGATCATAATCATAAAACACAATCATCATCAATCATAATATACAACACGCAGTGATTGTCATAAGATACTAAATAAACAATCAACATAAATCATAATAGGATACTATGTAAAAGCAATCATAACATGCAAACAACAAAGTTATAGTCATAAGATGCTAAAGGAATAGATAATAGGAAAGCTGAGAAGGATATTAGTTAATACAGCCCTACCAGGTGGTTTGACATCCCAGGGGAATAAAACAGCGTTGTGGGAATTAGTTGTTTAGCAGAGTGATGGCATGGGGAAAACCACGTCCTTGTGCCTAGTTGTTTTGGCATGCAATGCCCTACTACAGCATTATAGGGTGATGAGCATTAAAGGGTGACGAGGTAAACCAAAACTTGTTGAGATATTTTCACCAGGCTGTTCTTTGCAATGCGGCTGTCAAGCCCTCTCAGGCTCGACATATGAGACGAGGGGGAAGCCAGCATAGAAACCAAAAGCTATCGGGTTGGAAAACACGAGCCAGACATCCTCCGACGTTGCCTGAATCACAGACACTCCTGCGGAGCTGCAAACGCAATGCCTGTGATGAAGAAACAACACGCATGCGCAGAAGAACTATAGACCACCAATCAGATGTTTGGCGGATAGCCGAAGTACAGCTGACGAACGTGATTTCCAGAGGAGGCATAAGAACTTTAATACATGAGAGCTTTAAGAGAACGGAGGGAGTGTAATGTTAATTGGGAAAGAATGCTGGCTAGATGGGGATAGGGCAAGACACGGGTGGAGTTTACATTTCACTAGGTGCGGTCGTGGTTAACAGGGAATTGATTGAAGGGTGGGGTTAATTTGGACATGTGTTTAAATAACACTGGGAGGCAATAGCTCCCAGAGCAAACTTTGTTTTGACAAAGAGTCTTACTGCTAGAGGTCTTTGTTATTGTTTCATTTGATCTTAATTAAATCGTTGTCACCAGGGAAGATTTGCGTTCTTGAGCTTCATTCACCGTGGTTCCGGTAAGGATCATTTCTTGACAGAAAGTTTGCTCTCCCCTACTTCTCTCTAAACCAGTGGTTTTCAACCTGTGGGTCGGGACCCCATTTGGGGTGGAACGACCATTTCACGGGGTCGCCAAACAACGCAGTCCACCATTTTTCCCCCTTTTCCTTAGCTGTGCTACTCCCTTTTATTCTATTGGTTTTTGAAAGCCAATAAAAGAGACTCTCTTGAATAGAGTCTCATTCTATTGGCTTTCAAAAGCCAATAGGAATTGTCCAGGCTGTCTCTGCCCTGCTGAGCCCGCCAAAAGTCCCATTCTGCAAACAGTGCTGCACCAGTTGAGTAGTCCTCGACTTACGACCGGTTGAGTAGTCCTCAACTTACGACCGGTTGGGGGTCACAGCACTAAAAAGGTTGAGAACCACTGCTCTAAACGGACTTCGTTTTTCTTGGTGGAAAAAGTAGGAGTTGGAGTTTCTGTTTTGCATTGAGCTCGAAGATTTCTCCTGAAGTTTGGCTGAGACTGTGAATTGCCTATGGCGGAGGGTACCCAAGAGTCGGGTCTTGTGACCCCAGAGTCAGAGGAGCATCAGTTAGAAGTAGTAAAGCCAGACCCCCCCCTATAGTAGACCAGCCAGGAGCACACCCTAAAATTATTGAGACTAGCCAGCCAAACAGGTCAGGGGATATAGTGGGCCCCCAGGGGTTGGCAGCTAATAAGGATACCTTATCTGGAGAGTGGTGGAGGAGCCCTGCAATTACTGGCATGGCAGAAGG